GCCCCGCCTCCCGCGTTGTTTGTTGCTGTGCGTCCGCCTCAGCCGGAGTGCGGGCCAGGAATGTGACCAGCTCCGGGCGGGCTCTTCCAAGAACGCGCGCTCCCCCTCCCGGGCTCAGTGGCGCTCGGCTACACCCGGACCGGACTCGGCCAAGCTCGGCTTTATCCGCCCACAGCTCGACTCCACTCGGGTCCCCCGTACCGGAGCTCGGCCCCTCTCGGCACTGCTCGGCCCTGATCGGCCCTACTCGGTCCCGGCTCGGCCCTGATCGGCCCTACTCGATCCGCCCCGCCTTGTAGAGGCCACTGGAGGCGGCCACAGCGGAGGCGCCTGGGGCCCCCCTTCCGGCCGAGGCCGCTTCCTGCGCGGCTGGGAAGACTCCGGTCCTGCTGCCACCACGGTCTTGGGGGCCCCCCGAAACCCACAAGGTCCCTGCCACAACCACAGGCCAGCTGAGTGGCGGTCCGCAGTAGATCTGCGCCGCTGCCGCCCTACATCCCGGGGTCCCCATTCTATGGAGACACTGGGAAGTAATCTTCGCTCCCCACACTGCTGGACGTCGTGCTACACGAGACACTCATAACAAGGACACTACAAAACAAAACCCAGGCGCCCTCCCCCATAGCAAGGATGCCACAAAACATTCGGGTTCTGATACAAGAACGTCTCAAAGCACGTTAGGGTCTCCACACAACCGAAGTTCCTGTCCCCGTATGATAGGGGCAACACAACATGCATTCCAGGTCCCTACATAAAGGACACCACAGAACACTCATGCCAGGTTACTCTTATGAGAGAAGATAGCACAAAACCCCATGTGCCTACACAACCTCACAAAGAACTCACCCAAGGTCTCCAGAAGCAGAAGGACTGCCCAAAGTACTTCTGGGTTTCCGTGTGTAGTGAGGATACCACCTGATATACAGAACTCCACACTCAAGAACGACACAGAATTGCAGAACCTACGAGCTCATCGAATGATCTAGAGATGCAGCGGAGGCACAACTGCGGAAAGTCCCTGTGTCACTGACAGGCTACATCGACCACCCCATGAACGGTGACCCAGCCTCTCACCGGTGATACAGATACCAGCAACATCTGTCTACTGGACCCTGTTCTGTGAGGTGGGAACTTTGGAATGCAATCCCGCATTGAAGAAGCTGTGCCTAGTAGCTATTGACCTCAAGAAGGGTCAATAGCTATTGACCCTATTGAGCCTGCCATTAGTCAATAGCTTGGACAGCAGATCTCTGTGATTCTCAGGCTGGCAGCTGCTATGATCCTTACCCTGCAGCCTCCAGGACTGCATATCGATTTGCATATCTAGGTTATGGCCTGAGTAGGACAACACTGGCCCTCCATATATTAGCTATACAATGGGATCAAAATAGGACAGTCTTGCTGGGTAACACCCAAAGTAGTCAACATATAACAGAGTGGCTGACACAGGGATTCAAAACCTGAACCTGAAAGGACAGATTAAGTGAACAAGTGGGAAATTTTCCCCTAAAAGACCCAGTGCCTCATACTGGCCTGGGCATAGGCCTTTCCTGATTGGTGAAGTAGGAGGGCCATACCCAGGGCAGCCTGGGTTATCTTCAGCTTGTGACAAGTTTCTTATCTCCTGGGTAAGATCAGAACAGACACAAACCAACACTCCTAGACACAGCGCCTACCTTGGGACTGGCCACGCATCTCTGTGCAAGCCTCAGCCACCCCTACCTCAAGGCAGGCCTTGATATTCAAAGTGTGTTTCCCTGTCTGGAAACTAGATCATTCCCAATACAAGACAAAAGACTGCTCCTGCATTCCCACAGTGCCTAGGGGATCATCCTTCCTTTTTAGCACAACTCAGGCAGGCTCTGAGTTTACTCTTCTGATTTCATTCATAATGAAGAGCTCCCTCTCTTAGTTGTCTCTTCTGTCAATACATATGACAACTGGTAGAAGATTGGCAAGATAGCTCAGCAGGTAAATGGTTACCCTCAAGCCCAACACTCTAAGGGATAGAAAGAGAAAAATGTCTCCCGTAACTTGCCTGCTGATTTCTGTACATGCACTACACCATGAGCCTCCCCACAACTTAAAAACTGTTTTTCAGTGTAGCAAAATAAACAGTTGGGTTTTTTTTTTAAGACAGCTGATTATTTCATGAAGGGACTATTTAAAAAAAAAAAAACAAAAGAGACGTAGTTGTATCCCCATCAATAGCTTGATCTGTCCACATGCAGACTCCATTCAAATTAATGTCACATTTGAGAGAGTGACTTCCTTGCATGGGATTATATTCCATCCAATTCAGGCAAATTATAATCCAAAGAAGGTAACTGAGATAGCCCTTGAATGATCTGTGCATGCTAAAACACACTTTTTATTCAAGTATTTGGGAACAGAGTCAAACAGGTCTCTGAGTTCCAGCCTAGCCTAGCCTACACAGTGAGTCCCATCTCAAAACAAACAAACAAGAAACTTGTGATCATTATCTTAGCTGGGCCTTGAACACCATTCTGGGTGGCCAGTGCTTTCAAAGATGCTAAATGTATCCTGTAGCTCTCTGGATGCAAGACTCAAGTCAGGAACTAGCATTGACTCCTAGGTGCAGAACCCAGCGAAGCAGCCATGACCAGGTGCAGCATAAAGGTACTCATCCCTAAAGGGCATATAGGAAGGAGGTGCAGGGTAAAGAGCTCTAGAAAAACAGGGAAGATCTCAGGCTGGATTCTGTAGCTTCTGACCTCAATGGACTCAACGGTTTCCCCTCTCCATTCAAGAGGATTGAGTTTCTGAAAAAGCCGGACTCACAGGGTCAGGGCAGCTGTGACAGACAGAGCTAGCAAGGCTCCATGTGCTCTCCGAGCTCAATGGAGATTTTTCACCTGCTGGCTTTCTTCCTTCAACCCCTCCCACAGCTGTTCTGGCCCATGACACAGTCATGCTATGGGCCAGGCCTCTATGTGGGTAAATGGAGCATAGGCACAGTCATTCCTGGTGAAGAATTGGAGGCTTGGTGCCTGCCTAGAGGATGCAGGCAGAAGCAGGGACCCAACTTCACCAGGCCCACCAAGCTCACTACCTGGACCTTACCATACTGGTGTGCTTGGATAGCTTGTCCCCCTTCCAGATGTGCACACTTGCTGATCTCCCTAGATAAGTGTCAGCTAGGGTCTGATGGGACTGATGGGAAAGGAGAATTACCTGTGTGTGAAAACACCATAATGAAACTCGTTACTTTGTATGCTAGCTTAGAAATTAAAGAATATAAAGAGAAAGAAAAAAGGGAACCATATGGTGTTGGGTGATACCGTGTGACTTCCCATCATACCTATAAACATGTGTTTACACAAACATGGCCGTCACTCTTGACTTTATCCACTGGAGGAGGGACTCCAAGCATCAGTCTCTGGGCATCAGAGAGCAATGCAAGGCACAAACCTTGGCTTCTGCATTCCAGTCTCCTGAAAAGACCCAGAGTCTGGAGAGAAACACTGAGAAGCAGGTAAGCCTGGGACAGGTGAGAAGGAAGACACCCCAAGAATGAAGGCATGAGCAGAGTACACAGAATTTGGGGGAGCTCCCCTTAGCCAGATAAGATGATGTAATGGACAACAGGGACGGGTAGTAATCACAGAGCAAGATATCACAAGTTCATACACATTTTTTTTTTTTTAAAGATTTATTTATTTATTACGTATGAATACACTGTAGCTGTCTTCAGACACACCAGAAGAGGGCATCAGATCTCATTACAGATGGTTGTGAGCCACCATGTGGTTGCTGGGATTTGAACTCAGGACCTCTGGAAGTGCAGTCAGCGCTCTTAACCACTGAGCCATCTCTCCAGCCCGTTCATACACATTTAACATTCACTAAAATATAATAGTTAAAAGCTAAATGAGAACCATTTACATATTTAAAAGTATCTTCTCCAAAACTGCTTATTTGTTACACAGGGAAAAGAATAATTTTCCAGTAGAGATTCTGGGGGCTACTATTTTAACTGAGTCACCAGAGTGGATCCTGTAAATAATAAGAAATAGCTGCCCCACCTCTGTAGTGTGAGCAGACCCTGTACCCACCACTGTCACTATCTCCAAGACCCACAACCTACATCTAACCATGACAAGTTGTCAGCAATGAGACATTCAAACATAGATCTGGGCACTTTCCCCGGAAGCCTTAGCAGGAGCCTTATAGGCATCAGGGCCACTGCAGGCAGGGAAAGACCAAGCATGTTGAAGGCTAACCAAGACAAAGAGACAAGGACATTTCAGTCTAACATGTGCTCCTGACCAGGTTGACATATCTTGTCACAACAAAAGGCATTACTGGGACAACCAGGGAGCCCTGGATTGTGTCTCAGTCTCAACATGACCTGCTTTGGATGGCCCTCTTAGGGTATTACAAAAAATTGTCCTTGGGGTATGGAGAATTGCCATATTAGCCACTGAGTGTCAGAGTGATGGACTCCTGAGTTACTCTTGCAGCATTTCTGTAAGTCTGAGATTGAATCAGAGTACAAACCTTATTGTGTAAGGCAGGCTGAGTTCTCCATCTCTGCTGAGTACATATGAATGACAAAACAGGCTAGAGAGGCTAGAGAAAGTCCTCTTGGGGGTCCTGTGGGAACAGACAAGATACCAGAGGATGTGCTACATACAGCTCAACCAAGACAGCACAAGATCCCCTTCTCGGTCCAAGCACAAATACACAAAATAAATATGCCAGGAGAAAAATGTGCTGTTTAAACATTCAACAAAAATGTGTAAGGAGAGGTAGAAATAAGCATGGGACCTACTCATGCCACTGTTGTAAGAATGAAGACCAGATTGTCAGCATGAGTCCTGGGGAAGAGTCCCATTCAGTGAGGGGTAGGGATTAAGGCCAGGGTGGGACAGAGTAAGGTAAAGTGTCCATTCTGAAACAGTAGATGGGACTTGGCTTCTGTCAAGACAAGACCTAAGTAAGGGCTGTCCAGTCTGAGGACAACCAGCTCAGACTGATATAGAGGATAAAAGGATTCAAGAAAATATAGAGCCGGGCGGTGGTGGCACACGCCTTTAATCTCAGCACTTGGAAGGCAGAGGCAGGCGGATTTCTGAGTTTGAGGTCAGCCTGGTCTACCGAGTGAGCTCCAGGACAGCCAGGGCTATACAGAGAAAACCTGTCTCGAAAAACCAAAAAAAAAAAAAAAAAAAAAAAAAAAATGGAACCGAAACAGGATACGTCTAGTTGTCTCAGATTGGGATGAGAACTTGTTGGAAGATAATAAGAGAAGATTACCTTGGATCTGGAAAAAACTCAAGCGATTAAAAAAAGAAAGCAAAGAAAATACTAACTTCAGGGAAAAAAACAAAGAGAAAAATACGAGCAGAGTTTGCTACTTGGCTCAGCTGTGAATAATATTTACATAGTTATAGTGATATAAATGACTTAACAAGAAATTATGATATTGCTCGCTTAGGAAGAGAAAAGAGAAAGCTAGGTAGGTAGAGAGCATTGGGCAAGTGTAGTGGCTCACACTTTAATCCCAGCACTCAGGAGGCAGGTGAGTCTGGTCTACAAAGGGAGTTCAAGGACGGCCTTGACTTCACAGAAAAACCATCTGAGAAACAAAATAAAAACAAAACAAAACAAACAAACAAAAAAAAAAACAGCCGAGCAGTGGTGGCACAGGCCTTTAACCCCAGCGCTTGGGAGGCAGAGGCAGGCAGATTTCTGAGTTCGAGGCCAGCCTGGTCTACAGAGTGAGTTCCAGGACAGCCAGGGCTACACAGAGAAACCCTGTCTTGAAAAACAAAACAAAAAACAAACAAACAAAAAAAAAACAAGCAAACGGACCCTCATCCTCAGTTATATCTTACCATGCCTTAGCAGCTAAACATGGGACAGAAAGAGACTTGTAATTTAGAAATACAGAGAGTGGTAAGACAAAAATGTTTGAAAAGACTTAAGAAAGCTGAGTAAGGAAACTAGAAGACACAGCGGGAAGGTCTAAAAGAGGCTTACATCTTGTAACTATCTCAACTTTGGGGGCTTTTAAAAATAAATAAGAATTTATTTTATTCTTATGGCGTGCACGTGCCAAGGCTTACACATGGAGGTCAGAGGTCACGCTCGGGAGACTGTTTCCCACCATGTGAGTCTCAGGGGTCAAACTCAGGTCATCAGCACCTTTACCCAGTGAACTGTCTCGTCAGCTCTTTTCGGTTCTTCTACGTATCTGTATTTCATCGGTAAAAAATAAACGTGCTGGAGGTATAATTCAGTGGCAGAGTGCTTGCCTATATGAAGGAAGAAGGAATAAAATGGAAATGATAGTTTTTAACATTTTTAGGTTATTTTGTTTTGTTTATTTGTGTGTGTTTTGTTTGTAACATTGTATGTGTCAGGTCCTGTGGGACTGGAGTTAACAGACAATTGTGAGCCGAATTGTACATGCTCAGAATAAAACCCAGGTCCTCTGTGACAGCAACAAGTGCTCTTCATCGAGGAGCAAACTCTCCAGCCTCCATAAAATGTTTTAAACTGAAATTAATCACTATCAATGTTCCTGGAAAAAGCTGCCACAGCACTTTGATTTTATGTGCCTGTGTGGTGCTAGGGATCGGACTCAAGGTGTTACATGTTAGCCAGGCATTTAAGCACCAAGGAATAACCCAGGCTGGTACTTAGAAACTTTACAGCTTTCATCTTACATGCAAAAACAAAACAAAAAGAAGAAGAAAGTGGGTTTTGCAGAGTGAAGGGGCCATTGGCGTTTTATATTTTCTTCTTTGCAAAAACCCGTATTTTCTAGGTTTTGTTGTTTTTTTTTTTTTAAGAAGATACTTTTGGTTTTGTTGATCTTCTCTGTTGTTTCTTTCTCGACCATTCTATCCAAGAGGAACGTCCCCTACAATGGGAACTTCTGTAGAATCAGCCTCCTTGTCCATACAGGGTCACTTGTTCTGGGTGGTCTTAGGTATATGCCTGTCTCCCCTAGGATCATCCTGGAGCCAGAGCAAGCTTGGGGTCATTTCGTGGGTCCCAGCATCCCACAGGCAGTTTGATCTGCCTCCAACACACAGGAAGTAAAAACAGGGCTTGTCCTAGAGTTATGTCTATGGGCTCTTGCGATCTGTGAGAACTAGAGGGTAAGCCCGGCATGCCGCAGCAGCAGCTAGTCCTGCAGTAGCTGACTACCTCAGTCAGCGGTAGGCCCAGCTCCTGCTCTGTTCCACTTCCAGCAGCACCCTCCAGCAACTTCTGATCCTTAACATCCTGTGGTGGAAAAAAAAGAAAGAAAAGCAGGACCTCTTTCCCTCTTTCTTGTTTGCCATGTCAAACAAGAGTGCCTGTTTGCCTACATCACTGTTAGCCTAGAGAAGGCAACCATGGGGTTACCACCCTCTTAAGCCCAGCAGAGGACAATGACCAATCTTAGGAGACCATTGATCCCTGACCTAGGCTGGGGAAGCAGGGTGAGCTCCTGGGCCCTTCTCTTTTGGAAGACCCCTATCTAACCCATTTGCCTGATACAGAATTCTAAGGCTGAGGGCACATCGTCAGACACGAGGGGGCTCCCATCCTGAGCAGCATAGGCCCTGGGGCTGATGATGTATCCAAAGCCTATGGACGGCCAGCACAGCATTCCACAAAAGGCCAGGCTGGAGGAGCTGTACACCAAGCCTGGAGGAGAGCATATGCGGACACCCTATCCTACAGTCCCACCAGAGCCTCCTGGACCCTGTCCCTTGAAGCATGCTGTGCTGCTCTGGAATGTGCACCTAGCCTGCCTTAGGCTCCAGACACACTGAGCTGATCACAGCACAGCCGCCCTATGCCCATGGCCTGCAGCATTCTGCCAGGCCTCAGCCCTAAGGCTAAAGCTGTGGTCCCAAGTGGCTAATGGGTTCATGTGTAAAACATGAGGGCGAAGGCCCAGAGCCACAGGGCAGAGGGGCAGGGATCATTGCAGCCCCAGTAAACCCCTCATCCCTGTCATCTTCTGGGCTCCCTTTGCTGTTGCACTGCCTGACATACGGGCAACAGTGGCACTGTCACCCATCACATAAAGGTTTAGTCTGCTTCTCCAAAAGTTAAGGGCACTTCTCAATACCTCTTGCAGGGCCCAAACCTACAGTGTTGTTAGGAATCGTGGTAGAAGTTCATGTACTACAAGATCAGGGGCCCTAGTGTTAGATTTATTTCACCTTAAGGCTCAAAGGGTAGTGTTAACACGCTAACCATTTGAGGACACTAACTGGTAATGGGGCTGAGTAGTGAAGGCGTGTTGGCTTAGAGCTCATACACCATTACCAAGAAAGTACAGGATGGGATATTTTCAGAGTCAGACTCCAGGGACCTTGAGGAGACCCTACTAGACTCTCACTCAGATTCTTACCCTCCCAGCACTCAGGCAAGGCGCTAAGATCTTTCTCTTATGTAGAGGGAGTCCAGCCTTCAGACCCAGACCAAATCCTCATAAGAGCCGCAACCTCTTCCTCTCTTCCTTCTTGCTTCTCCCCTTAGCACCTGGGCAGTCGCAACTCCTTTGTCTCCACTCTCTTCTTTCAGGCCTACAAGTCAGGGCCTCAGATGCTCCTCAGGGGCTGCCTACCTCTCAAGATTTGGCATCTTAACATGTAACAACCCAGGCTGATGAGCCAGGTCTCTCATGACCCATGTACCCTCACTCTGCTTCTTATTGTCAGGGTCTGCTGGCTAGGTTGTGAGCAGATTAGAGACTCTCACTGCATCTTAGGGAGTAGTACAACGTCCCAGTAGAATTGCCAAAGTAAGGTGGTTGTTTGGGCCTGCTCTGGAAGAGGTTTCCTATGTGACTAATATTAAGCCTACTGATTATCTTGGTCCCAAGGAAGCACCAATGGCTCCTAACATAGCCTCTTTGAAGCACCCTCCATCTCGGGACTTAAAATCCCTCCCGTAGATGAACACTAATATGCTGCCCCGACCCCATCCTAGGTGTACACATGGGTTGTAGACCTGCTCGTTACAGGAGGCAGGTGATGCTGCACGTGCCCCTAAGAGGCAGAGAAAGCTGTAAGAGAGGAAAGGTGGGTGAGCAGCTATTGGTCTCAGAATCCAGTTCCACCAGAGCCACTCTTCGAGCAAGCATGTGCCCTGGTTTTCGACCCTGTGAGTGGAGGAGGATCAGGAGGCAGAGGGCGGCTGGGCTTAGGAAAGAGCTCTGTTGCCTCTTACCCCTCCACACCCTCTGGAGCTTCTCCAGGGAAGGTCCTGGGTAACTCAGGAGGAACCCTTTCCTCTGAATCACGGTCCTTCTGGCACCAGGCTGGAGGGGGCAGCAGGGAGGACTTGGGCCTGTGACTACTTGGTGATCAACCATCACATCCACCCGACACACCCAACATCCCAGGCCAGCAAGAATACCAGCGTCTCATCCCATTCAGGATCGGGGGGGGGGGGGGCTTCTTGCTTGCATAGACTCAGCTTGTAGCTCTGCTGCCCTTGCACCCCTGGGTTGGTGTAGCATCCTTCTCCCTGTACAGGCCTCAAGCCCCTCTCTCCTGGAAACAGGGCCTCCTCGTAAATCTGAGCCACACTTGGTTCCTGAGCAGGCCTCCTCCCGCCAGCCCGCCCTCCTGCCGTCATTTCTGGCAGGCCCTTGCAGTGAGCTCACGCGTTACATAAGGCATTCGAGCTATTTCTTGGGGGAACAGCTCCCCCTTCGTGGGGCTCTATTTACCCTCACCCTCCTCAGCCACCAACTGCCAAGCCAAGGGAGGTCTGGGCATGAAAGGACAGACCCTGTTCATGGAAGGGGTTGCCTCTACTCCTGCCTAAGGGGCCCCCTTTCGATCAGAAAACAGTGGTATTTGCATGAAGGATACAGGAGCCCAGATGCCCAGGACGTGGCACCTCAGGGAGCTCCGAGTAGAGGTGCAGAAGAAGGAAGGAAGGAGGGAAGGAGGCAAGAAGTAAGAGAGAGGGGTGAGGAAGGAAGTTGCACTCCGGGCTTCCAGGGCAGCAGATATCCACCCACTATAGGACAGACTTTTGTCTCTGCCACTCCTCCAGGAAGGTTCTTGGGTCCATCTCAGGGCAACTAAATTGTCCTGGGGCCTCAAGCTTGATGTTACCTAGTCAGCTACTAGAGTCTACTTTGGCCAGGACGTAGGTTCCTCTGGGACTCTGGAAGGCAGCGGCTGCTTGGGAAGGAGCCCTCAGGTGCTAAGTCTACATGCTGATTCCTGTGGCCCAGCCCAGAGATGCAGGGAATCCTCCTAGACTTGCCCCTTCAACCCCACTGCTGCATTTCTGTGGCCTGGAACTTGAGGGAACCTGTAAGGACACACAGCAGACACCCCCACCCCGCCCCGCCCCGGGCGGGGAGTGGGAGCACAGCTACAGAGACATGCAAACAGTTTGCACTGGATATTTCTGAGTGCTGGGCCCTATCCCAGCTCGTTCCACAGGGAAATCCTGGCTCATGCAAGGAGGGGGTGTTTCTCTCATATAGTCACTTTTCTTTGCTGCAACCGGGCAGGAAAAGGGCACTTGGACAGAAGCCAAAAAGCTCTCTCTCTCTGCCCCCCCCCCCAACCCTGCAGAGTCTGCCTGAGGCCAGAGTTCAGCCTGAAGGAGCAGGAAGCTGAGCTCCTTCAGCAGGCTGGCCACTTCCCCTTTCTGAGGAAGGGACACCCCGGTGGAGCAGTTTTCTATGTCCTAGCAGAGGCCATATGCCTGCAGATGTCCCCAGCTGGGAGACTCATACCATATCCTGAGTGAGAGCAATCTCCTAATAGTACCAGGGACACCTAAATCACAAGCCCTGTGGGTGGCAGTGGCCTGGAAGTACCATGGCCCCTCTCGTTAGTCTCCAGGATGGAGTCTCTGTCCTCGTGAGCAACAAGAACTTGTATTCCTTTCTCTTTTCAGACTCTGATTCTTGGAACTTACACCCTCTTGGGTTTGCTATTTTTACCCACCCTGAGCCTTCCGGTCTCCATGGCGACGCCTCCAAACAGCAGATTCCAGGCGGCAATGACGTCACCTTTCCCTTTCCTGCCGCCCAGGCCTCTAGGCGCTGCTGCTTGGGGCCCAGGGGCTGCAAGGCTTCCCTGGGCCCCATTCTGTGCCCCCTCAGAGCAGCCCCAAGCCAAGACTCCAAGGTCTGTGGACCACAGCTGGACCTCTCTACTTCCTGCTGGCCCAATAGTTGAGGCCCCGGGGGAGAGCGTCCATCCTTCTCCATGCCCCTTGGAGTGGTTCTGCCAGAGCCCCTTGGCAGAGGGCACCGGCCCAGGGGAGGTGACCCAGAAGCAGCCTCCCTCCCACTCTGGGCTCTCTGCCATGCCGGCTGCCCTGTTCTACTGAGCTGCCGCAGGCCCTAGTGGCTGGAGAGGAAGGGGCTGGCCGGCGCCAGCCTGCAGTCTGTCTGGCCTGGGAAGCTCCCCATGGCCCCTGCATCAGAAGCCAGTTCCCAAGAGAGGCAGCTACCTCAGCAGGGGGCTGAGGCGCCCACAGACTTGTGGGAAGCTAGAGTGGGAAATAGCCTACTAGCTGGCCTGCCAGGAGCTTGCAGGGGTGCACATGTACATCCAACCCCCTCGAGTGAGGGGAAAAACAGGTCACCCTGCAGGGCCCCATCCCACTTCTAGACCCTGGCCAGGCTACAGCAGATATGTTCACATCCCTTCCCACAGTTAGCCTGCCTGTGTCAGGGGCCAACCTTTTTCCTAGCTAGAGACCTCTCAGGCCAGGCTGAGAACAGGGACCCCTGTGATCCAAATAAAGTAAGAAGGTATACCTCTTGCCTTCTCTGTTCCTTGTAGGAAGAGAAAGAACATCATGTCCTACTATGGCTCAGACACTTACTGAAAGAACCGAGGAGTCTTTCCTGTGCCTGGGGGCTGTGGATGTGTAGGTAGAGTGATGGCCTATCGTGAAGCCCTGGTTTCATCCCCAGCACCTTGTAAAGCGGGTTTGGTGGCATGAGCCTATAATCCCAGCTCTCAAAAGGTAGAGACAGGAAGATCAGAAGCTCAAAATTATCTTCGGCTATACAGTGAGCTTGAAGCCAGTCTGAGCTACGCAAGACCCTCTCTCGAAAAAGAAATAAAAAGTCTTAAATTCCCCTGGTAGAATGAGCTCTGCATTGCTCTCTTCACCCATGGGGGCTTTGTCAGTCAGAGAGCCCCACTCACTCTAGACATGCGGAGGAGCCCCAAAACAGGGCTTGCTCTCTCTTGAGGCCTGCATGGTTCTGACTGATTCCTGACCCATCCTTACCACCAAAATCAGGGTTAGGAGTCAAGCAGAAAAGTAGCCAACATGGCTGTAAGATTCACTGAGTGTTAGAGGCCTACTGTGGGGTCTCTATCTTGCTGCACCCTGATAGGAAAAGACAATCCTTACAGAGCCAGGGAGAGACTGAAAGAAAGTGGTTTCTAGGCTCACATTCCTGCCTGATTCCAGGTATGAAGTCCCAACTCGCCTCTATCTGACATCGACAGACACAACCACAGGTCTGGGCAGGAGACAGGCAGGTGGGTGGCGGTCTCCAGAGCCCCACACAGACCTAGTCACCAACCAGGTGTGCGGAGTGTTCAGCTGGTGGGTCTTTCCAGCCAGACTGGCGCTCGGGAGCCCTGTCCTAAGGCTGTATCCAAGGTGAAGTGCCGGGGAAGAGGCCTCTTGAGACAGGCTTAGAGAGCCAGTGAGAGTCTGGGTTTCTGAGCCAGGTGGCTCAATTCTCAGGAATGGAAGTGGCTAATGTGGGGGAGGAGCTGTGGCTTGTCTGAGAGTGCCCACTCCGTCCTCTCTCTAGACATCAGGCAGGAAGGAGGCCGGGGACTCCTGTGGTTGTTCACCGATGAACAGCTTCCAGGATGAAATACAGGGTCACGTTCCATCAGCCCTATCAGTTTGGGGCTTTTATACAAGGCCTCCTGGTCATACTGTCATGTCCAGTTCTCTTCTACCCTAGGCATACAACGGCCTGGTGGGTGGTCCCAGTCCAAGAACTAGTCACCCTGTTCCACCTGAGTCATGATCTTGAAGGGCTATTGGTCCTTTGAGTAGACCCTAGACCAGGTCAGAATGTAGAATTAGAAGGACTGGGGTGTTGAGTCTGGGGTGGAAGGCTCACTCCTAGGTCCATCTGACCCCGTGCTCTAAAATTGGTCAAGTGTGGGCATTCTGAGTAGGCAAAGTAGCAGACAAAAAGACCCCGAGACAGGGGAGCATTTGGTCCCTATATGGCTCATGCAGGGGAATGGAAGGCAAGGTGTTCAAGAAGAAAATATGAGTTGGTTGGTTAGTCAGTCAATATAGCTTTACTCCCTGAGAGACTTGGCAATGACTGAGCGCTATATGGGACTTCAAACATCCTCCACCCCCAAACCATAACCTTAGTGGACAGGCTGAGTAGAGAGAACAGGAGTCAGGTCCCCATGCCTACCAATTACTGGGGCTTCCCAGGTACTTGAATCAACACACCCTCATGCCTCCACTTCCCTATCAGGAAAACCAAGGGGTAATGGAGAAATTACGTGAGGCGGACAAGGCTGTTTTTCCTGAACATTTTGTTCCCAGCTCTGCCCCTATCCTGGCATAAGGCTAGAATGGGCAGCTAAGGGAAAGGCCTTCCTCTGGCTAGCTCAAGCCCCTCTGGGGCCCCTGGTTAGCTACTCCTATTTTGCCCATGGAACCACTGCCCACCGACCTGCAGGATCTGCAGAACGGAGAGGGAGGGGTTCAGCAAACAGGCACCTTAGCAACTCAAAGAGGAGGGCAGAGGCTGAAGGATCCCGGGTGTGCCCCCTTGCCTCACGACCAACAGTTTCAGGGTCTTCCAAGGTTTCAAGACTGGCATCTGTCTCCACCCCGCGCCTTTCGGAGACGAGTCCACGTCCAGGCTTAGGGCTGCCCAGCAGGCTCCCATCTCCATGAGTAATATTTAACTTGGAAGGGCCCTGGGACAACTGCAGGGGAGAAGTTAATAACAAGTTTGGATTGCAATCTGCTTGCCAGGAGAGGAGGGAGGGAGAGGCATAAAGAGAGGACAGAGTTAAGGGGAAGGAAGGAGGGCAGGAAGCAGGGCATAGAGACTGGGCTCCACACACTGCTCAGGTCAGGGAATTCAGGGTTGTGGTCTGAGTGTAGCCGAGGTCCCAATGTCACAAGGTCATTTTACCTCGGGAGTAAAAACTGTAAGGCCAACTAGTGGTTAGACAGACACTGGACGTGTGGATGAGTCTACCAAGCTCTAGTTTCCCCTGCAGAACCCACCATGGATTAAAGAGAAGTCTGGAAAGCTTGTTCTGGGCAAAGACCACCACCACTATCGCCACTGCCACCCCTGCCACCATCTGCCTCCATTTGCCGCCACTGCCAACACCATAACCGCCGACTCCCGCAAACACACCACACACACACCACACACACCACACACAAATACCACTGCCCCCAACACACACACAGACACATGCACAGCACACTACACACACATACACACACACATATACACATAGCACACACATACACACCACACACATACACCACCTCTCAACACATACACCACCTCCCAACACACACACACTGTACACACACCACCTCCCCAGCAAACACACCACACATACCACACACACATCACACACACCACACACACATACCACTGCCCCAACACACACACCACACACACACACATATACACACAGCACACACACATACACACATAGCACACACACACAACACATACATACACCACCCCTCAACACATACACCACCCCCAACATGCACACCACACATACCACACACACATCACACATACACACCGCATTCCCAACACACACACCACACCCCAACACACATACCACATATACACACCACACACCACACAGGACACACATAACACACACCGCACACACGCCACACACACACCACCTCCCAACACACACACAGAGACACTGTAACTCTGAGGCTTCAACCCAAGGTTGGAAAATCCTTGAGACTGGAGTCAGAATGAGTTTCCATGCTGAGGGTGGGGAGTTGGAGGGAGTAAAACCAGAGCTAGCATGGGCTCTCTCCACACAAAGGCTGCTTGTCGAAGGGGACAGCACTTTCAGGGTTGACCACTGAAGACCTGAGCTGTACAAGGCTATGGCCATATGCCCTCACTTATCACAGGAAACAGTACGGATATTCCTGGGGGAAAAACTGCTGCATTTGTGTTTCTGGCACCTGCCTGGCATAATGTACCCCCAAAATGCAGAAGAGGCGAGAAAGTTGGAGGCCAGGCTAGGCTGCCATCACATGACTGCAGGGAGAGAAAAGCTAGGTGTCAGGAGTGCCAGGCTTTTCTGACTTTAGCCAAACTCCCATAGAGACCCAGGAGCCCTTTCCTGGCATGAGGTGCCTTCTTATTCAGAAAAGAGGAGAGAGGCCTGAATCGCTTTCTCTGCTCTACAAAACCTCAGCAGCTAATGCTGGAGGTCCTTCCCGAAAGGACCAGGGGCAGGCTGCCCTAGGTTCTACCTGGACCAGCACACTCCAGTTCTTCTAGCTGCGTCATAATTTTTGGCTCTAACCCCATCCTGTCTCATTTCCACACACCACTCACTTCTATTCCAGAGTGTGGCAAACCTATGGATTTTGGTTTTTCGTTTAGTTGGTTGGATTTTCAAGACAGGGTCTCTCTGAGTAGCCTTGGCTGTCCTGGAACTCAGGGTGGCCTTGAACTCTGAGGGATCCACCTGCCTCTGTCTCCTGAATGCTGGGATTTCAAGGCATGTCCCACCACGCCCAGCCCTATGCCTATGTGTTTGAATGACATTGTTTTTCATCAATGTGTACTTTTACAGGGAAAAGAATTCCCCTTCTCCCCCTGATCTTGAGACCATTTGTGATTTGCCAGTGGCTGTTGGGTATGTCCTCGGAGATGCAGCGACTTTACCCAGGTGGAGGACACTCTGAGACACTCCCAGAGCCTCCCTGTGGCAAAGTCACACCCACAGGATGCCTTGTGACT